GCTATTAATTAATAAATTTACTTTATTCTATTTAGGGTTTACTAAATTTTTCTCAAATATTGAATAAGATGGGTGGCATGAAGTGCTACCCATCAACTAGTATTAAATAAAGGTTAATTAATTTGTTAGAGGCAAGCTAAATTTGTCATTTAGTAGTAGTTTATTTATTATTCTATGTAAATTTCATTTATTGAGATTAATAATTTATTTTATTTTTGATGTACTAATAGCTTATATATTGTCTCTATATAGAGATATTGAAATTTTTATACATATCAATATGATTTAATATTATATTTAATTTATATACTTGATGTACATATGCTTATACAATACAAGAAATCTAAAAACCTTATTAACTTATATTAAATAAAGGTCAACTAATTCATTAAAGGCAAGCTAAATTTGTCACTTAGTAGTAGTTTATTTATTATTTCATGTAAATTTCATTTTATTGAGATTGATAATTTATTTTATTTTCGATATACTAATAGCTTACACATTGTCTCTATATAGATATTGAAATTTTTATATGTATCATTTGATTTAATGTTATATTTAATTTACATACTTGACAATATTCTTGCTTATATAATAACTTAAATTCACATAATTAGTTGTTATAGAACATGCTATAAAATAATTTCTTTTATATTCGCTCACTAGTACAATACAATACTCATTACTTCATGTTCATCTATTTCAATCAAGTAACTTCTATCTGTTATATTTGTTGCAACAATTTCTTCAATTTCTTTATCTTTATTTTCTGAAACTATATTATATTCTTCATACTCTTCAAAGTTATCTTTATTAATATCATCTGATTCAACTGGTTGATTTTTCAATTCATTAGAAAGACTACATATTTCGAAAAACTTGATAATAATTTCTGCTGAGATGTCATTCTATACTTCTATGATCCAATGACATATTAAATCATATACTGGTTTTTTCATCCTACTCTTTTAGTATATTCATATTCCTGGTATCTATCCACTCTTTCTATTTCTTACAAAGTTAATCTTTAAAGGGCTTATTAATGCTAACATCTAAAGGTTGTGCTATAGGTGTTAGTCTACTAGAAATAATACTCAAAACTATATTTGTTTCATAGCATTTGTTTTTTACAGATATTATAATATGTCCTTTGAATAAATCAAAAACTAATAAAGATCTTTTTTCTCTTCTGGGCCTTTGTTGCTAAACTGCCTCTAACCAGTCTATTATCAACTCTTCATCTATCTATCTGCTTTCCTGCATTCTAACAACCACACCAGGTAGATAATTTCCTCTAGGTATTTTTTTTCCTTTAAAAATAATTATTGGCAGAAGTTTTGATCTGTCTGCCAGTATTCCTAAAACACAGGTAATTCAGTTCTTATTGTTGTCTATCATACATATAGATACTAACTGAATACTATAGTTATCAAGTATAAGAGTGCCTACTATATTAAAACAAACTAGAGTTTTGTCCATGTTAGCAATACAGTTA